AGGAGGAAGCAGGCTCCTTGCAGAGCAGAGAGCCTAATGTGGGGTTCGATCCCAGAGCCCCGGGATCATGACCTGAGCTGAAGGCAGAGGCCTCAACCCACTGAGCCACCCAGGCGCCCCTTCAACATTAGTTTTCACTGCCACAAATAATGCTGCTCAACAAACTTGTTCATCTTTGTTAGCATCTTTTATTTTCTTATAAAATTTCTACAAATAGGTTTGCTATGGTATAACCTCTTTAAGGCTTTTAAAAATATGTGCTAGAATAAACTTCTGAATACTTAGATACTGTTTTTATTTGGTTATAGAGTATAAATATTGAAGGCCAAGTACCAGACACAAAAAAGCTTTTGTCAAACTGCTAATTTTTGTAAATAGTGAGTAGACTGAACCATGCTACTTTCTATGCAGATTGTTTTACATTTTTAGTTGGAATGTGAATAATAACTTAAAATATACTTTTCATTGCATTTCATTTCATTTGAAGAGTGAATTACCCTTTACTTGGTTCTCTTTCTACAAGTTTAGTTTGGGGTTGAAATATCTAACATTAGTAACATTTTATTGTAATGCAGATTTGTAGCATCTTTTTATTGCCTTAGCTTATAATTATGTTGGAAGCTGGCAGATGGATCTAGGTCAGTCCTGAAGTGTAAATTTTGCCATTGGAGTATATGCTGAATGTATGAATTTGGCAGATTTAAGATAAAGTATGTTTAAAGAGCGATCAAAAAGACCAAGTGTCTTTTTTTGTAGATTTCCTTTTTTAGAGCAGTTTTAGGTTCGCAGCAAAACTGAGTGGAAAACACAGAGTATGCGTGTTCCTTCGTCCCCACACATCAACAGGCTCCCTGCTCCAGACCAAAGTGGTACATTTGTTACAATTTATGACTCGTCATTGGCTCCTCATTATTACTCAAAGCCCATAGTTTACGTTAGGCTGCACTATTGGGGTTGCATATTCTGTGGGTTTTGACAAATGTATAATGCCATATGTCTGTCGCATTAGAGAGAATACTTTAACTGCCCTAAAAATCCTCAGCTCCACCTGGTCATGTCTCCTTCCCCCTCAACCAGTGACAACTACTGCTCTTTTTTACTAAGGTAAATGTCTTTTTGTAGGCCTTGTGACATATAGGTTAAGTATGCTTAGCATTAAGGCCTGGGGAAATATTTGAGGAACAGTTGATTTTCTCTAGGTAGGTATCTTTCAGCTTTGACCTTGAAAGATCCATTTGGGAGTTGGAGTGGGGGAAGAACTGACTTGGAACAGTGAATCAGGAAAATTTATTGGAGGTCTGAAGTCACCTTCAGTCATTTTTTGACACTAAGAAATGGAAATAGAATTAAAATCACTCTTTGCATAACATTTAACTTCAGTTTAAAATCTCAGAGTAATGGTAAATTTAAAAAGATTTCCAATTTAGGTAATCACTGTATGTTAAGGTTTACAAGTAGTCTAATAAAATGTACATTACAATTATTCAGTTGCTTGTATCAGTGATGAATGAAGTATACTTTATTTGTGGTTAGTACACATTTGGTAGAAAAATCATGATGGGGGAGTAAAGTTAGTGAACCATGTCATTGTGCTTCATTATACCTTTGAAATGTGTTTGGGGCACTTCACTTCAGAAGTCTGTAGACTAGAAATGGTGACGATGTGTAGATATCTGCCGCCTGTATATCTTAGGTACCTATCTTTATCCATGCTAATCAAAACTGGCTACATGGTAACTTATAGTCAACTGACCTCGGTGAAATTTCAAGTTAATAAAAATTTCCTGCCAAGTGGTTTGTCTATTTTATTTTTCAGAGACTAATGCTTTTATATAGGAACCAGGACTGTTTGTTCATTTTTAACAAAATCTGCAATCCAAATTTGGTCATGATGATATTTCAGCATACTTTGTTCATTTTAGGTTCTTTTAAATTAGTGTATTACTTGGCAGAACTTCATACTTCTAATTGTAATTTTGTAATAAATACACTATTGAGTTGCTGGAAGTATTTTCCCAAACTAGTTATGTGATTGTCACATTTGCCCATAAAATACATAGGGGCAGGTATAAAACTCCTGAGTAAAATGTGTAAATTTCATCCAATCAAGAAGTATTTATTAAGCACCTGCTAGGTGCCAAGCACTGTTCTGGGTGCTGGGAGACAGAGTGGTCGGCAGGGTGCTTGGGATCCTTATTTTTGTGGTACATATATTTTATGGAGGGAGAGATAAAAGGTACACATGTAAACGAATGAAAAAGGGTTATTTTAGATACTGAGAAAGACTGGGGGGGGGAACCCTGTTAAAGTGATGTGGAGGGGTCTAATTTAGACTGAGTAGTCAAGGAAGACCACATTTAAGAGATAACACTTGAGGGTGCCTAGGTGGCTCAGTGGGTTAAGCCTCTGCCTTCGGCTCAGGTCATGACCTCAGGGTCCTAGGATCGAGCCCCGCATTAGGCGCTCTGCTCAGTGGGGAGCCTGCTTCCCCCCTCTCTCTGCCTGCCTCTCTGCCTGCTTGTGACCTCTCTCTCTGTCAAATAAATAAAGTCTTAAAAAAAAGGGGTAATACTTGAGCTGAGACCTTGATGACGGAGAATTAAGCCTGTTGAATTTCTAGGGACAGAGCGTTCTAGACAGGAGAAAACAAAACAAAGATTCTAAGGTGGGAAACAGGTTTGGCCTGTTCAAGGAACAGCTAGAGGACTAGACTGTAGGAGCCAGATCACACAGGACTGTGGAGGTGATGGTAAGGAAGTTAGAGTTTGTTTTGTTTTTTTTCTCTCTCTTTTCTGGTTACAGTAGGAAGCTAATTGAAGGTTTTGAAGAGAGGATTGATAATCTAGAGGGGGAAACATGCAATAAATAAGTACTTACATAAATATTCAAATGATGGGTGGATAAAGATTGGGGGAGGATAGGAGGACTAAACTTGGTTAGGAGCCTCAGGAAAGATAGTCCTGAGGAAATTATGGTTAAACTGAGACCTAAAGAGTAAGCATGATGGGCAGTGATGTGGAAAAGAATATTCTAGACAGAGGAATATCATGAATGAAATATTAGTCTAGAAAGAGCTTTAATAGCATAAGGATCTGAAAAAAGGCTAGCGTTTCTGTTTGTAGCTTACAGAGGTGAGAATAGCACCAAATGAGGCAGGAGAGATTTGGCAGTGAGTATAGGATTTTATAAGATGTGTAGGATTTTGGTTGTTAATCCTCTGTAACAGTGATCTTAAGGAGAGTAATTTAATCACACTCATATTTACCTGTATTATTTAGTTGCTACTTTGTGGAATTTAGACTGGATTAGAGGAGGGGGCAAAAGGGGATGCCAGTTAGGTACTGCTCTATATTTGTGTGCCGTTGAAACAGGAAGTGATAGTATCTTCTTTAATTAAATATTGATTGCTTTTACTTTCAAAGATTCTCCTTTGAAATCGCTTGCTCTTTATATCATCACTGTTTGCAGCACATTTTGAAATAGTGTTGCTGCTTTTGCTTTGTACAGCGAAAGGGGCCTTGCGACATGGAAGTAAAGGCTCTTAGCTTTTGCAAATCAAGTAAGCTAGGTATTTCTTTCTGTAAGGAGAAAAAAGTCCATTAATGTAGATAAATAATCTTTAAGAATAGTGGTTAGTTGGATAAGATGTTCTTGGATTGTTGGCTAATAATGTTCCACTCCTCAGTAGACTGTTTCCTGGAAGAGAAGGGACTGTCATTGCATTGAACACAATAGATACCGTATGTCTCCATAGATTGGAAAGGGGCATTTAGTAGACAGGTTCAAGGGGAGAGTCTTCTAAAAAACGTTGATGTGGGGAAGGGTAATAAATATGGTCTCCAGGAGTAAGTTGTTACTGTGTGGGATCAGGCCATTGATAGGGAAGAAAGCCAGACAAGGGCTATTAGGTGTTTTTGTTTTGTTTTTAAAAGAACAGAAACCTACACTTGAGGAACTTTGTCTCTGCTGTTTCATGTTTTATAGTTATTTCTTAATTACTGTTGAGTAAAGTTCTTCTGCAAAGGTTACCTTCTTTTAGTGTCCTAGGTAAACAAAGGAAGAGTTTATATAGCTGTTTTGGGGAATTACGTGATTTCTGAAGTGGTAGCTGTGGCCTTTGGTGAAAAAGAGCCCAGAAGCCGATGAAACTGTAGAATATAACTCTGTACCTCACTGACTCTTCTTCTTGTGTTTTCCATTAAAATATTAATCCTGGGCTTTGCTTTAATAAGGGAAGTGCGCTATTATATTACTCTTACTAAATTAGGGACTTGTTAGCTTTACTGGATGTGTGAGTTTTAGAAACTTCTTAGGACCTTAGCTTAGCCATTTAAGTTTCACAGCAAACAATGTTTACATTTCCTGTTTTAATCTTTGTAATTTAGAGTAATTTCCAGGTGGTGCCCACAGGGAAAATTGGGATCTGAGTTACCGGGTAAAATCGATCCCCCCAACCTCCTTTTACACAGATCACAAATCAGTTTCTGTGTGCATACAGTAGCGGAAGTTGTTTATGGAATAGTGCGTGCTCCAGAAATAGCTACTGTTCACGTTTAGCTGTTAAGACTTAATAGTAGAGGCTGTCTTCAGTATTGCTGCTTATCTGTATATATAGTGGGAAATCTTAGCAATATTCTTTTTTTTTCTTAAGATTTTATTTATCTATTTGACAGAGAGAGAGAGATCACAAGTAGGCAGAGAGAGAGAGGCGGAAGCAGACTCCCTGCTGAGCAGAGAGCCCCATGTGGGGCTTGATCCCAGGACCCTGAGATCCATAACCTGAGCTGAAGGCAGAGGCTTAACCCACTGAGCCACCCAGGCGCCCCTCTTAGCAATATTCTTGATCCTGTTATAGAGGGAATGAGAAATCCAATATGACTTGACCATCACTTTTTATATGGAATAAAAGGGAAGTTATTTGAAATTTTGTTTAGTTTTGATGCTTTAGGAGAAGTTTGTAATTCAGGAATTCAAGTAACCTCTTCTCGTTTTAATTCTAGGTGAGAATTATGAAGATGATGACCTAGTAAACTCTGATGAGGTTATGAAGAAACCATGTCCAGTGCAGATTGTTCTTGCTCATGAAGATGACCATAACTTTGAGCTCGATGAAGAAGCTTTGGAGCAGATATTGCTACAGGAGCACATACGAGATCTTAACATAGTAGTGGTATCCGTGGCAGGAGCTTTTCGTAAAGGGAAATCATTTCTACTGGACTTCATGCTTAGATATATGTATAACAAGGTGAATAGTGTCTTTTAAATTGAACCCAGTTAAAAACAATCAACCTTGTTTAAAAATCATAGACAAAAAACAGTGAGAGCTGTGTCTTTAGTTTTATATAAAGATCCAGTTCTTGCTAAGACTTCTCATTAAGACAGTAATCTAAGTTTGTTTGAGTTTTGATTCTTCCTCATCTCCATAATTGCTTTTTGCTATAGTACACGATGATGCATATGACTGAACATCTGCTATAGAGACATTGTCGCTCTGACCTGCACTGTCTTAAGTATACCCCAAAGTCTCTGATGTACTGCTCATTTCCCCCTTTTTGTTATTTCTTCACACCTTCCCCTTCTTGATCACCTTCCCAACAATGTGTGAAGTAGGCTGATAGAAACTTTTGTAAAAGTACACCTGTGCTCTTCAAATAAGTCAGCTTCAGTCACTATTACATTTTGAAATAAAGTCCAGTTCCTTAGTGTGGCTTCCAGAGCTTTTCATGATATCTGAGCTGTGTCAGGTATACTGTAGTTTTTGTAGTTCCTCAAGTGTTTCATGTTATTTCTCAAATGTTGGTGTATTCTTGACTAAGCTTTGTACAGCAGGCCTTCCTTTTTTTTTTTTTTTTTTAAGTAGACTCTGTGCCCAACATGGGGCTTGAACTCACAACCCTGAGATCAAGAGTTGTATGTTCTAGGACTGATCTAGCAGGTTGCCCTGAGGCCTTCTCCGATTTTTTTTTTTTTAAGATTTCTTTTATTTATTTATTTATTTATTTATTTATTTTTTAAGATTTGATTTATTAATTTGACAGATCAGAAGTAGGCAGAGAGGCAGGCAGAGAGAGAGAGGAGGAAGCAGGCTCCCCACAGAGCAGAGAGCCCGATGCGGGGCTTGATCCCAGGACCCTGGGATCATGACCTGAGCCTAAGGCAGAGGCTCTAACCCACTGAGCCACCCAGGTGCCCCAAAAGATTTTATTTATTTATTTGACAGAGATCACAAGTAGGCAGAGAGGCAGGCAGAGAGAGGAGGAAGCAGGCTCCCTGCGGAGCAGAGAGTCCAATGCGGGGCTCGATCCCAGGACCCTGAGATCATGACCCGAGCCGAAAGCAGAGGCTTTAACCCACAGAGCCACTCAGGCGCCCCACCTTCTCTGATTTTTAAGACTATGTTATATCTAACTTTCATGGCACAAGTTATTTGTTTCATTGATACTGCTTTAGTTACTTATTTTTCCTGGCCAGTTTAATCTCTGTCAGGAGGGAGTCTTACCTTAATTACCACATCTCCCTCACTTAACACATTAATTGGCTCATAGTAAGCATTTATTTTCTGTTTTGACCAATGACTCTCCCTTTCTCCACAGACTTTTCACTTTTTAATGGTACTAAGCAATTGTCATTTCCTTCTCCCTCCCTGATTTTGGCTTTCTCCCTTGGAAAAAAAAAAAGCACAAAATAATTTTACTTGAATCAGAGTGTTCTTCTGACAGTTGAGAGTTGGGTTGACGGGGGTGAGAATTTGATAGGGACAAAGAAGGAGGAATTGGAAATTTGGAATGGAACACTTAGGAGGAAGAACTTTCTACAGGGGGCGTTTGACATTCAGAAACTACATGAGGATGCTAGAAATAACACTGACAGAATTATGTAATTGTCTAAACACATGTCAGGGTGCTCACCTTTACAAGTTCTATATCAGTCTGTAACTGAGTGTGCATTTGCCCTAAGGTAAGTAACACGGTAAACATTCCTAGTTGATTTTCCAGGAAGCTTTTCAGTAAATTGTTGTCTAGGATTTGCCTCAGACACAGTCAGGTATGCCTCAGTATCAAGAATGTAGTTCAAATTAAATAACACTGTTGTGCATGTTTAGCAAGTTAAGAAAGATTCAGTATTTCATCCATTTAGACTTACTTCTCACAGTTTTACATCTGAAATAGAAAAATGAATAAATAGTGACATACTCTTTTTTAAAAAAAGAGTGCCCATTTAAAGATGATAATTGAGGTTCTAACTCCTTAAATTAGCTTGTGTATATTGTGTGTGTGTATATATATATGTGTGTGTGTGTGTGTGTGTGTATAATCTGATCTGTTTAGTGCAAATGTATTTAATTCCAAGTGGGTCATAGACAAATGTTCAAGGGAAGAAAGTGTAAATCACTTGCCTAGCAGTGACAGATAAATTTCACCTCAGGTGCCATTTCTGAATCCCATCTCTGATCTATTAGTAGTGGTTGTTCAGAGGGGGGAGTAGCAGCCCACACAGTGTCATGTTTTTGCAGTCTCTGAAATAATGCTTTCCCTTTTCCTGGGGGAGACACTGGAGCCACAGGAAGATTATGAGGGCCTTAGTGAGGTTATATACCTAGTTAGTGGCCTCTAAGCTGAAATGTCGTTACTAATTTTCATTGATCAGGTTTCCATATAGAATTTCTGGTATAAATGATATTCTGTTAATTAAAAATGACATTAAACATTGTCTGATTTTTGGGATAGCATGCCTCTACTTACACTGATTCAGTGGTGGGTCATGCTTTTCCTCGGAGAATGAAAGTAAAGAAGTCACAATGATTAGTTTTAAATTTATTTCATGAACCATATCTGCCTGCAAAGGCGGAATGCCAGCTGAAGAAGGTAGGAGATGAGTAGTGGCTTACACTGACTTTGTCCTCTTTATTGACCTGAGTCAATTTATGTAAGGGTGCAGTTCACTAAAGGAGCTAAATATAAATATTTTACTTCATGATTTACAAATAGATGACTGTTTTTTCATTCTGAGTAGCCAATAAAGTAATAATATAAGTTTAAATGTGAGCTCGTTTCTGTTGGACAAAAATGAAAACTTCGGTATTTAAGTTCTTAAAACTAAGAATATTCTGAGGTGTTTACCAAACATTTCCAAATTTTAGGGGAAATTCCGATTTTTAGGTCTCATTCTTGTGAAGTAAATAGCTTCTTAGTGTTTTTTTATTTTGTTTTTTTGAGCTGCCACTTGTATATTGAAAATGGATTTTCAATAGTATAGGAGGAAAGAAGTTAGTCTTCTTTTGTAAACTTAAGAGGTGAACCAAACATTTTTCTAGAATAAAATCTCCTCGTGTATTGGAATTGATCAATTACTATAGTTAAACTTTTACCATGAAATACAAGATATGAGAGGGTCACTAAAATTGCTAATTCTTGAATTCATAATGTGGGAAGCATTTTGAACTTAGATGGATATCACTTAACGACATTTGCTATGAATGCCATATATGAGGAATACCACAGAAATTCAGTTATTCAGTGAACCTAATAATTTGTAAGTAGAATATTTATCACTTGTAAAAGTCATTCTCAAAAAGCTACAAATGAAATAATTAAAAATTTATGTGAGAACTATCAGGTCTAGTATGTCAGTATTTATTTATTTAAAAATTTTATTTATTTGATAGAGATCACAAGTAGAGAGGCAGGTGGCAGGCTCCCCGCTGAGCAGAGAGCCTGACTTGGGTCTCGATCCCAGGTCCCCCGAGATCATGACCTGACCCGAAGGCAGAGGCTTAACCCACTGAGCCACCCAGGCCCCCCTAGTATGTCAGTATTTAAAAAACCATGATTTTGTTTATAGAAGTAGTGAGTTATACAAGAGAAGATGAAAATCTGTAATGAAAGACAAAATAGGTGGTAATGGTGGGAGAGAGGATGACTTCTCCTTGCTAATTAAATGGAAATACTCTCAAGTATTTTATACCTTTCCCTTTCTAATGCTGATTTGGTTGTTGGGGGAATAGTTCAGGTAAATATATTTTTTCTTTTTTTCCCTGAAGTATAATTTATATACAGGGAAGTACCCAGATCGTAAGTGTATAGCTTGCTGAAATTTTACATAAACACACACACACACCCTACCCACCCACCCATATTACCACTACCCAGACGAGGATACAGAACCTTACCCTCCACTTGTTATATCCCTTCCATTTATTTACCCCCCAGCTCATATCTACCCCTGAACTGTCATACCAAAGACTGGTTTTGCCTGTTTTTGAACTTTACATGAATGAAAGCATCCCATAAGAGTTTGTGTTTTGTTATTTTTTAAAATTTTTTTAATTAAAAAAAAATTTTTTTTTTAAAAGATTTTATTTATTTATTTGTCAGAGAGAGAGAGCGCGCGAGAGCAAGCACAGGCAGACAGAGTGGCAGGCAGAGTCAGAGGGAGAAGTAGGCTCCCTGAGGAGCAAGGAGCCCAATGTGGGACTCGATCCCAGGACGCTGGGATCATGACCTGAGCCAAAGGCAGCTGCTTAACCAACTGAGCCACCCAGGCGTCCCATGTTTTATTTCTGATCAAAAGTTAGCATGTAAAAGTAATTTCAGTTTCAGGAATCCGTTTAGGAAGGTCACAACTTAATTTAGAATTAAATTACGGCTGTAAAACTTAATACTTGGGACATATTAAACATTAAGCAATGGTGAGAGCTGTTACTGAACTCCTCTGGATAGAATTTTAATTGTGTATAGGGTTGTTTGCAGTTTTATATCATTCTCTATTTATATCATTCTCTATTTTTTAAGAAACATTATGAAGAATTTTTAACACATGTAAATGTAGATAATAGTATAATGAGTGCTCATGTATTTACAGTTATCAACTCAATCTCATTTTATCTAAACCCCAACTCATTCCATACCTTATGTGTTGTTTTGAAGTATGTCCAGATACATAATTTCATTTGTCAATATTTCAGTATCTTTTTAAAGATAAGGGGCCTTTTGGACATTACAGTAATATCATACATAAAAAAGCAAATCCCTTAATATAAGGGATCTGCTTTCCAGTTTACTCAGATGTTTTAATTTTTAAATTTTTAGCAGTTTGTTTTGAGTCAAGATTGAACCAAATGAGGTCCACATTGTGATTGGTGGCCTTTAAAGCATTTTTAAACTCTTTTTAGGCTTCCCTCCATCTCTTTATTCTTGGCAGTTCATTTGTTGAAGAACCTGGTTGTTGGTCTTACAGAGTTTCCCT